CAGGGAGCCCGATGCGGGGCTCGATCCCAGGACCTGGAGATCATGACCTGAGCTGAAGGCAGACGCTCAACCGACTGAGTCACCCAGGCGCCCCAAATCTGGGCTTTTAAAAGCACTCGTTTAAATCCTAGTTTTATCTCTTAGTAGTTATGTGACTTTAGTAAGCCCTTAGTTTCTATGTTTATAAAATAAAAATTGTAGCAACACCTTCTCCTAAAGTTATTTTGAGGCTTAAATGAGATCAAGTATAAAGAGCTCAGTATCATGGCTAACACTTAGAAATTATTCCAAAAAATGTAAAAAAAAATAGTTCTATTCAATATAGGAAATAAGTATTATCTTAATTTCTGAATGATTTCTTTGTTTTGCCCCATTTTGATATGTGACAAGTGGATATATTTTATTTCTAGTTTTCCAGATAATCTGTATTCTAAACATTCTCTACCTCAAAATTCATCTCTGAAATTCCTAGCTCTTGGTGTCCATAGCTAATATTCAGCCAACTTTAAGTGTTAGAGTTTGTACATATGAACAACTGAATTAAGTAAAAGGTGTTACCAATCCTAAAAATCCCAGCTGTTATGATGAAGAGAAACAACTTTACAAGTACTACCATCAAAAGACACGTGAGTCAAATAGCAAGCCACGGAGGGGGTGGGGTGAGGAGAGAGAGAAAATAGAAATGGAAAAAATCATCAGGCAGAGGAGAAAATGATGTCTTGTAATATATATGAGAAAGAACTTGGCCAAATTTTTTTTTTAAGTGAGAAGAAACATTATATATGTACACATGATATATATATACAAATGTTTAAGTTACGGCCCACGTCTGAAGACAAATATTTTTATTGTTATTTCAAAATCCCAAATGTTTGAGTGCCTTAGAATTTTTAAACCATTGACTATATTTAGTTATGTTTAAAGGAAGATGTAATTAAGAAGCTAGAAATTATATATGTTTAAATGTTTGTCCAGAACATTGTTGAAACAAATTGCTCAGCAAGTTTTATTGTTATTCCATAGTAAATATTTTGACTAGTCAATCACCAAAATGCTATGGTCAAGTTGGCATTAATAGATGTCATTTATTTAGGCAAACTGACAGTAGATTCACCAAGGAAGACAAAAAAAGAAATCCTTGTATTTACTTTGGTAACTTAGCCATATTTACCTTGAACAACATGATGTCCTAAAAGCTACTCATTAAGCTTAGAATTAAGTAATAGAACTGTAAAAGGTGGATAGTGTAGTAGGTCTTCATTTAATGTCATAAACCACCTTTTCCACCAGTATTAATTTAGTCTAAGAAAGTAAAAGCTTCTTAAAAAGTTACTAGAAAAAGTGCACATCAAGGAATGTAATTGAGCATAGACTGGTTGACCTGAGAAGAGAACAAAAAGCTCGAAAGAAATTTCATAAGGTTTTAAATTGGGCAAGAGGACTACACTATCTCTGATAATTAGACTTTGAATACATTTGGATTTGCTAATTCGATCTAAGTTCTAATGAGACTTTTTAGGAAACTAAGAATGATATCATTATATGAATTTAATGTGCTTTTATAGTTGAAACCTACAATTAGCAGCCCTTTCCAAATTGTTTTAATACAGAGAAAGCTGGCTTTTTGTTTATATTGTGACATCCCTTCTCTTAAGATATATTATGTATATTTTAGGTTTCTTAATTAAACACCTCTTGGGGACTCAAAGAGAAACTTGAGTTTTAATAGGAAGCACCTGAATCTGTTATTTGTGAAGGAGACTTGCCAGTATGTTGCCAACTTTGGAAGCCACAAACAAAATGCAATACAAGGAAATAAATCAGTCTTCAGGAGGAAGCAGCACAAATAACCAGGTGCCCCTATAAACCATTCAGTCAATCAGAGCAGTCTCCAAATATGACGGAAGATCTGTTACATTTTTAAAGCATGCAGATATGGAATAGGTTCCCAAAAGTGAAGGCTCATGGATCTAGTATCAGAATTGATAGCACGGCATTTCTTCCCAAGATGTGCATTACAGCATTCTTTTTGCAGCTTTGCTCCTTGGATTATCTGCTAATTCAAGTCATAAGATCTCTTTTTTTCTCCTTATTTCGGAATTGAGAGTCATCAGTTTTTATCCTGTTGTGATTTATAGGCAGCGATTTTAAAACTGGGAGCCCTCAGATATGGATATTTGGAGATCATGACCTGAACTGAAGAGATAAGAACTACATGAGGATGTAAAATTTAACCAGTATTTGGAGTGTAAAGAGCAGTGAATCATGGCAAGACTTTAAGGGAAAGGCTGCTGCCAAAATATTCCAAGGAAATTGATAGCACTGACAAAAAAGGCAAATTATATTGTTGTATGTACTGTGAATACTTGAAAACAACAAATAGAAATGGGAAAGTTTTTATCTTTGAGATTCATATTTCTAAGGCCATATACATGATTTTTCCCCTCAAATAAAAGCAGAAACCCTTCTAACTATATTAAAAATCTTGTAGTTTTTTTCCAATAAAGGCAGTGTAATATCTAATTAAAACCATTGAAACTATAAGAAAATCTAACTTGTGCAATAATTGATATATTAAGAACAGACATTATACTAGAATTATATGTGCTATTATTTTTCCAATTAGTGCATTATGGGGACTAAGTTATTGGTGTATTGTAACTCCTTATTAAGTCAATGTCCTTAGTAGAGTCTCCTAAAGCATATTGAATACTGTCATATGCCATATAATGATTTTTAAAAGCAGGAAATGGAATTTCTGATTGCTTCACTTGCTATTAAAAAAGAAAACTTGTGCAGGACCCTTCCTATACCAGTTATTCCAAGAGGTATCACACAGCTTTCTGAAAGACTTTTGCATAGCTGATTGGACTGTTCTTCAGGCAGGAAAGTGACCAACCTATTTTACCTTTCAGCTTGGGTGCTGGAATCCTGTCACAGGGCTGAATGGATCACTGACTGACAAGAAACTAGAGAATAACATGCGTGGAGTGGTTCTACGTGTGGTGACTGTTCTGGTAAGTCTGATCTGAGCCTTGTGGTTCTGGCTTCTAGAAGTTACTTTATCCCTCATTTCTTTATGTTTTATTAAGTGATGCCATAATCTTAAAAAAACTTTTAACAAATCCTGACTATGCTTTCAAAGATATGTTTAATGGTCATATTTTCCAACCTTCAATTTATATGGATCAGAATCAGATTTTTGCAGGCTTTACTTTTAATTACAGTGCTTTTGTCAGTAACTTTCTGAGACATTTTAGTCCCAGTTTGCTATACATGATAAAGTAACGGTCTCCCTCAGGTATTCTGTTACTGTAAGTATGCATAAATAAGAGTAACCATGCCAAACAAGGCTAGAGTTGACCAAATATAGTACATTCAATAATACTCAAACATTGGTAGACCACAGCAATGCTTTTCTAGCAAGAACCTACTTCAAAGGAAAGATCATACAATTGTTTAATAAATATTTATTGAGAATCAACTGTATTCAAGCTCAGTGCTGATTACTGGGGACCACTGATGAATAAAGAAATGGTAGATATGATTCTGTCTTTATGAAGCTCACCATCTAGACTCTGTGAATATTATATGGAATTATACAATTATAAATATAATTATACAATTACATTTACTTAGAAAATCAAAAGGTAACTATTATCATTATTCTTTATATTATTATTTTCTCTTCTAAAAGGCATATAAAATTACATGTTAATAGAAATCTTTTTTAACAACAAAATACTCAAATGGATAGTCTAAATAGCCATAAAGCAGGAAAATATGCATTCTCCCTTGCTGTTTCTATGAGTTTAGGCTTATGCTACTTTATAGTCAGTTTCAAAATGTCCATAGTTGTTAACTTTATTTTTCTTTAGAAAAGCCTACTTGTTTTTAAATTTGAAAAAGTCTTTTCTACAGGCTGAATAAATTGCAGAATTAGTAGGTGGAAGAAACCAGTCTTTTTTTTAAATTGCTGCCAATTGAATATCTAGCAAAGTTTATAACACCAATGGTTGCCCCTTATACATTGTTTAATACAAATTAAGTGGACTCAACATAATTTCATTGTTAAAAAAAAGATCTGTATTATTCTCTGTAAGAGTATATTCAAATGAGTAGTCTAGTCCCTATTTTTGGTATGTATACTTTATTATTAGTTATTATTTTGATAAGATTTTTACTTTTTTGGCAAATAATTAAATTATGAATACTTGACAACTTGAATGTGATGGTGCTTCTGTATGTACCCAAGGCTGTGAATATGCATCTGCACTGATGTGCTAATATTAAAAAAAAAAGACAGACATTTAAAGTGCAGTGAACTATTAATAGTCTCCTTTCTAGTGATTAACATGGAATCTCAGGAGACAACTTCAATAAAAACAATATATGTACATTGTTTTTATCTTTGAGATTCATATTTCTAAGGCAAGCTAACCTCATTTAGTCCCTAAGCAAATATTTATTTAATACTTTACTGTATGATAAGACTTGATAATGGATTAAATGAATAATACCTATACCTATTACATTATATACCTATTATGTAGGTATATGTCTTCATCTTAAAGGTATGTTCATACCTCAAGGTACACATAGAATCTTGTTGGGAGATGCACATACAAAAAGAAAACCAGGGCGCCTGGGTGGCTCAGTTGGTTGAGCGACTGCCTTCGGCT